TTGCGTTCTATTATTTAGATATGATAATTATATCATACGTTTATAAGTTTGAGTGCTATATTTTTAAAACTATATATTATGTAGCTTCCTGAATAATGTCTCGTGGTGAACACAGTCGTAAGCCTTGAAAATATCGCAAAATATACCCAAAAGCATCGTCTGAATTCTCCGATACACAAAAAAAATAATTAATCAGCCCAACACCGGCGTCAGTTTTCTAATTTGTATGGAGTAATTTATATACATTTTAAAAAAAATAACAAAAAATTTTACGAAGTGTTGGCATTACAAAAATAGGTCTAAAATTAGTGGGGTCTAATGAACTACTAGTTTTAAATAAAGGTATAACTTTACTATGTTTCATTAATCAGAAAACACACCAGATTCGATTCTTGTATTGAAAATGTTACCAAGTTGGGATTTCATCTATTATAAACGCAACAACTTTAACGGAAATCTGCCATAGATCTGTTGTTTTCTTAACATCAATAGTTTTGAAATATCTTAAATTATCTCCTGATAATATTTTATGAAATGCAAATTCTTTTTTACAGACGTTCACATTTTGTTTGAGTAACGACTCGGCTACAGTAGGGGAGGAATTTAGTGACTTTGTAGTCAAGATTGGTCAAACATAGTGATCCTGACCAGGATGCTAGGATATAGTTATCAGATTATTGTAATTTAATTTGTCATCGGGACTTAAGAGGAGTATTACAAGAAAACGCGAAATCACAACGTTTTCTCGTTGAAGTTATATGTTTTTCGTTCGTTGCTTGAAATAACAATTACTTGGTAAAAATAGTTCGTTTTCTCTAATACAATAAGCTCAGAACAAATTTTAGATAACTTATTTATTTATTTAGTAATAATCATTCTGTCGATGCATGTTTAGGCCAAAACTCTGAGACATTGATTTGGGAGCTCTAATTTGTAGATTCTATTGAATATCGACCATAAAAAAAACATTTATATCTCACAAATATCCTATACTTCAATAATCATAGAATACATTTCCGTTACATGGTGAGAATGACAGCTAATCATATGACAGGGTGAGAAATTGAGTGATAAGAGATAAATGTGGTATGCAAGATGATGTTGTGACCAGGATTAAGAAAAGAATGCTTCGGTGGTTTGGTCATGTAGAAAGAATGAATGAGGAGAGAGTGACAAAGCAAATTTATATGGCAGATGTGAACGGCAGAGTCGGGAAGGGACGCCCTAGAAGAAAGTTTATCGACCAAATTGGCGATATTTTGATAATGGGCCACATTAGAAGTACCCTTAATGCATGTATGCGTATATATATGAATGTAAAGGGGGGTAATGGAAGTCCGTAGTCTCTGCCTACCCCTCTGGGTGACAGGCGTGAATGTTTATGTTATTTTCGTTACATGCCTTTCACGTAAGGAAAAAAATCGACATAATTCAATTAACGACCGAAAAAGCTTCATGAGTTCTACATCATTTTGACGTAAAAGTTATACCAAAATAATCATCAACATTTGCTTAAACTACACTATGATATTTACTTATTAAATCGCTATTATTATATGTTTTAATTAATTAAATAAAATTAGCATATATTTCACTGCGCCGGCCATCTGAGATAACTATCGCGCGAGCGCTTTTCGAGGTTGGACCTGCGTCAGTTGATTTCGTGATGTTGCTATCGTAGTGGGCGTCGATTGCCGTATAAACGTTGCTATTTCTATTTTGTGTCAACTACCACCGCAGTTTTGATCGTTAGAAGTATTTTCTTTCGTACAGTATAATTTCAATTAGTATAAAGTTCGCACATTATTATTACACCAGATAGTTAACTCATTGTAGTTATTTCGATTGTAGCTAAGCTTTCTTACCAGTCGGAATGGGCTAAAAACACTAAAAACACTCGATTAAAACACCTTTCAAACGAAAAAAAAACAATCATCATTGGTTCATCCGTTCAGGAGCTTTGATGCCACCATAGAATACTATAATACATACATAATAGAACGGGGGAGTGGGCGGAGCCCGCGTAGCCACTAAAATGTCACTAACACGTCAATTCACACGTATAAATGTCAACACGAGATGTGTTTTGATGTTACAATCGTTTCCAAATTTCCCATGCAAATTATTTAGAAAATGCCAAATTGCACGCTATTTACAAATGTATTAAAATTTAAAAGATTTTTTATAATGATGATATTGAACATTAATCAAAAGTCTAAACTGTTTAAATTTACTCAGTTTGTCAACACAGCGAATCAGGTTTGTAGTAGTGATAAATGATAATACGACGTAATTGCTTATATGTGTGCTCCCGGCGACGTCGACTCTCCTACAAAATAATGTTGACAGCCATTCTATTGTGTATTATAGTATTCTATGGATGCCACAGACAAACACACAGATATACACTACAAACTAATAACACCCCTCTGTGTTCGTCGCGGGTTAAGGGCCCCTTTTCCCAAATTTATGTTTCTAAATCGTGTTGTTTTCAAAGAAATCATCATATTTAAAATCCTAAAAAAATATATAGTACAGATAAACGTTTGATCTAGTGACTTTTTTGGATAAAAACACAATATTAAACATTTAACTCGATAAAAAAAAATCAGAAGTAACATCGATTTTGAAAGCATTTTCAGTTTTATGAGAATTAGGGGAACGCTATATTTATGAAAATTTTACATTTCATTTACTAATCAGGTTTGACAGGGATATTATTGGATAGATTTATAATTTGGCACTTATTTTTTTTCTATATAAAATAAAATACGTAAAAAGCGACTCGCGCGCACCACGCCAGTGCCGCCAGTGTCCAGCCAGACGTCATCGAGGGAGGACTTGTGCTATTTTTGCTCGCGACTACGTTGTCGTCGCCGCTCGCGTAGTAGTACCTACCTACTAGCATAAAAACTTGTTGTATTACATGTAATATAATAGAAATTAGTTTAAAAAGACAATACTCGTATCTAAGTATACTGACGTATGTTTTTTAAACAGTGTTTGTAAATAAATATTTTTTGTAAGTTGTGATTTAATTAAAATGGCGAATAAAAAATACAAAATTAGGAAAAAAGCCTACCTAAAGTGAATAAGATCCGAAAGTGTATTGCGTAAGTACTTAATAAGTTCCTATAACCTAGCCCTAGCGTAACATCAACAGGTTATTTACAATAAAAAAAATACATATTGGAATAATTAGATATCTACTTTAACAGGGACATAGACTAGCTAAATCAGTATGACAATTTTTATTTTCGTTTTCTAATGTTCCACTATTTAGTGTGTGGATTCGTCACAATATAATTTACTGTAATCTAGCTAAGCTACACAGACTAGCGAAGTCAGTATGACAGGAATTTTAAATCCTATAGTAACATTTACCTATATTTTTGTATACCTACTAACTCTAGTAATTCATTTTTTTTTTGCTTTTTGAAATTTTGTAAATTTATTTATTCCATTCCAGTGCTCTGAGATCTCGTACCGATAAAGGTACTTTGATGTCCAAAAAAAAGTACCGATGGGCACTCTAAGGAGAGGCAGTATGCGTAAGTACATTATATACATATTACACAGTATACTAGGGAGGAACAGTTTTACCTATTATTATTATTTGTATTCTTCAATTGTCAGATTTCTTATGCCTATACTACGGGCCAAATTCCTCGGATCACCAGGGTCAAAGAAAAAAGAGCCAGTCCACATCGAAATAATTGAAAAAGATGACGTATTTTGGCAATCTAAGATGGAGTCCAAATTAATACAGTTTTACCATAAATGCCTACTTCCTGAAATCGTGAATCCCAGACATACGCGTGGTATGGGCATAAGAAACCTGACACTTGAAGAAAACAAATCATCCGAAAATAAGGAAAATGAGAAACCTCTAACACAAAACAGTCCTGATTTGTTATCAGATGCTAGTCCCCAACACGGAGGGGAGCGCCATGAGGACTGTGGCTTTGACCCTCTAAGAGGAGACTCACGCCCAGCATTAAGGAATATATCGGTCGATGAAAATGAACCTGGACCTAGCACACGAGAACTAGATTTTATTGAATTTTAATTTTTAGTTGGCTTTTTTTTAATTTTTATTTTCTTCTATTATTAAAATTTCACCCAAATTTTATTTTAAATGATTATAAAGAAGCCTTTTCAAGCTTTTTTTAGGATATTGTAGCCGAATGGAAAAAACCGGAACACTTATAGATTCGTCATGTATGTCCGTCCGTCCGTCCGTCCGTGTGTCACAGCCTTTTATTCCGAAACTATTCGGACTACATATTTGAAACTTAGTAGGTAAATGTATTCTGTGAATTTCGTTTCTATACAAAATAAAATACAAAAAAAATTATAAGTACAAAAAACAACAAAAAAATGTACAAATAAAAAAACTAAATAAAAATTGATCAAACGGAAACAAAAAGTCTAAATGGGGATTCGAACCCGAAACTTTCTTCAGCGTAGACTTCATAGGCCGACACTATAACCGCTCGGCTACGTAACAATAGCGGCGAAATTACGAAACATACTGCGCGGGTAAATCTTTATGCGTGAAAATAGGGCGAAAACGATTTTTCCCAGACATGAGACCTAACTAGATCGGTTTTTCGTCCCCGTAAACCCCTAAATTGAAACTTTCATGAAATCGTTAGAGCCGTTTTCGAGAACTCATTTAAAATATATATATATATATATATATATATATATATATATATATATATATATATATATATATATATATATATATATACAAATATTGCTCGTTTAATAGTATAGAATAAGTAGTTAATTTATTTATCAACAACATTCCTAGGATAGCTAACAAAATCGAACTACTGATTTATTTATACTGTGGCGTGCTCGCCCGCCTCCATAGGTCACCGAAGTTCATGTCGCGCCGGCTCCTGTGCAACGCGGGCGCGAGCCGTCTCAGTGCGTAAAATGCCTAAACTTTCGGGAAAAGGGGCCCTTAAAGAGAATAGTCCGGTACGTACCAAGGTCTCGCCCTCGCAGACCTGGTGCAAGTTCTCAGGCTTCACCAGCAGCAGGTTGCAGAGCGCGTGCAGCGTGTCGAACAGCGCGTGCGCGGGCGCCGGCACGCTGCGCCCGCCCCCGCCGCGCCCGCACACCGCCGACCGGTACTCCTTCACGTCGCAGATCGCGATCATTGCGCCTGACACAATCCAAATTTTAGACGCGGTTTATACAGAAGATACGTGACGGCGGCAGGTGGCGGTGGGAAACATAAAATACACCTAATCTATAATAATAATACGGCTGAAGATGAGACGCGGGCCACGTAGTGGCGGTGGCGCCTCACCTGGTAGCAGTGACGTCACCTGCATACGCGCGGGCGCACTTCTGTCGGTAAAAATGACGCTATGCAACAAAACTATTAGGTCTATTTTATGTTTCTTTAATTATCCGCCACCGCTACACTCCTTCGCCATGGCTCTTCTGTATTTTTTTTATAGAAAAGGAGGCAAACGAGCTTGTGGTTCACCTGATGGTAAGAAACTACCACCGCCCATGAACAACCGCAACTTGCAGGTTCGCTGCCGGCCTTTTAGAAAGGAATAACCTCTTTTTTTTTTAAAGATCCCTATATATATAAAAATCGCCGGTGGTAAACGATTCCACAAAAAGGTTGTGCGAGGAACGAACTCCTAGCACGCAATAACGCACAGTGCCGAACCGCCAAGCTTCCAGATGGTGAGGATGGTATCGTGAGTTTTGTCACGTTGTTAGATAAAGTTAAAGTTATATACGTCCCACTCCTGGGCTCAGGCCTCCTCTCATTTCTGAGAGGGTTTTAAGGCAAGGAATAGTCCGCCGCGCTGCCCCAATGCATGTTGGCGAACTTTACATGTCTTCGAAATATTTTTTTTTGTAATTTCTCAGAAATGCAGGTTTCCTCACGATGTTTTCCTTCACCGCCGAGCACATGGTAAATCCTTAAAATTGAAATTAACAATTTCTTTGGTGCCGGCGGGGATAGATCCCGGTTTGCTCGCGTATTGTGAAATTTACAGCGAGCGCTAACCATCTGAGCTACCACGGCTCTTGTCTCGATGTGTGTTCGTGAAATTTTGCGGCTGGAATTAATCCCAACAATTCCTCAGACCAATCCTCGTGGTAGTTGCGATAGAAAGTGCAAAGGGATCCGGTGTAAAAGGCATCACCTGTGCTGTCGTCGCAATGAATACTACTTGGTTGTTTACAACATATAAGGTCGGGGAAAAAGTTTCTTCGTATTTTAAATACAAATTTAAGACATTCTTTTTTCGAAGTCTAATTACATTTAATTACAATATGTGTCATTTTGTTCGATAACTTGTTGCCATTTTATAATTAGTGACATAATCCTCTTGCTATAGAAATCTTGGGATTTATGATCAAACAAATTCGGCAAGTAATTTTGACAGTCCTCTCCTTGATGTTAACCAAACACTACTCAAAGAATTCTGATGAAACCGAAACAGGTGAAAATCTGAGGATGCAAGATTAGGACTAAATGGTGGATGCATTCACACTTTACAACCAAGCTCTTTCAAGTTTGCTAAGTGGCAAAATTTATGTGCGGTCTGGCGTTATAATGATCAAAGAACACTCCTTTTATGTTTATCAGTTCCGGACCTTTTTTCTCAATTTCTTGCTTGAGTCTCAAAGTCGTTGATAGTATAACCATCATGGTTTTGCCCGGCGGTAAAAACTCAAACTCGTAATAAACGAAGCCCTCCAATCCCACTATACACACAGCATCACCTTATGGCGTGTTAATTCAGGTTTCGCTACAGTCTGTGGAGCTTGACTAACCTTTGACCATGATCTTTTTCGCACGTTCTTTTCGTAGGTGATCTACTTTTCATCACAAGTGATCAATCTTTTCAAAAATATTTCGGTTTTATTACGTTCGAATAGAGAATCGCAAATGAGTACACGATTCATTAGGTTTCTTTGAATGAGCTCGTGTGGTACCCTAATATTGAGCTTTTTCGTATAGCCAGACTTTTTCAAATGGGCCAAAACTGTTGTGATCTGATGTCGTCACCAATAATATGACGATTTTGCTCCACTTTTTCAAAAATGGCAATTTATTCGTATGAGGGCGGCCAGAAAGTCATGACATCTTTGACATGAAAATTTCCGAAATTAAAACGCTTGAACCAACTTTGTGCTACTCTTACTGACACTGCATTAGGTCCATAAAAGTCACAAAAGTTTTTCTTACTTAAGTCGTTATGACTTAAGTCGCACTTTACTCTTTTGTAATAAAACTTCACAATGTATCAAATTTCTTTATAAGATTTGGTCATTTTGGCGGACAGAAAAACAATTGAGCGAGTTGAATAAAACTATTATTTACGGATTTTATCGCGTTTAATTCAACTTTAATTTATTTTTATTATCCCGACGTTTCGGGTGCTTTACAGTACCCGTGGTCACGGGGGGGACTGAGATGTTTGATGTCCCAATGTCATAGTTAGTCCGGCTACCTACAGTTTTTGAATATCAATTTTTGGTCCGATTTACGCAAAATGAGCTTATAGTATCATGAAGTCTTGCAGTGGTATGCTTGGGTTTGGGTTTAATTTAGTAAATTATAGGATCCCAAGCAGCTGGCGGCACCCATCCATCTATCTTCTCTATTGAAATTTGGATGTTTTTTAATTTCAATAGCCTCGCATATCATCCTTGGTAGGAATCGGTGTTCTTTTGCGAGGATTTGTGGTTTATCATATCTAATGTAATGGTGGGGACGATCTTGAACACGTTCGCAGACTGCAGACTTCCCGGAGCGTCGGTGCTTCACGTCAGCTATATGTTCCTTCACGCGAGTTTTAATAGATCTTTTTGTTTGACCTATGTAAAAGAGACCATATTCACAATCTAGCTTGTTTTCACAAAACAAGCTAGATTGTGAATGTGAAAAAAGCAGAGAGCACGAGGGATCTGTGACAGAAAACATCTGACCGCCGAACTTCAGCATGTTAAGCAAGTATTGCAAGACAACAAGCTTCGGGTCCCGCGCCTACGTCACAGTGAACAAGATGCAGGTGTGTACAAGCTAGATTGTGAATGTGGTCTCTCTTACATAGGTTAAACAAAAATATCTAAAAATTAATATTCAAAAACTGAAAGTAGCCGGACTAACTATGACATAGGAACCACATCTCAGTCCCCCGTGACCACGGGTGCTGTAAAGCACCCGAAACGTCGGGATGATACAAATAAATTAAAGTTGAATTAAACGCGATAAAATCCGTAAATAATAGTTTTATTCAATGTGTAGTGTTCGCGTAAATTTAAGAAATAATTAATTGAGAGAGTGTTTTTTTTACTTTTATTTTTCTTAATGTCCTATATGTATAGATATTGAAACCAGCCAGACACAAATAATGCAATCAACGAGAACAAGATTTTTGTTCAACTTTATATAAACAAAATACGAAAAACCTTTTTCCCCGAGAGTCACCAGCATAATCGGAGCATGCATCGTCTACTACCACCTTGACGCTCCGATCACCAAGGAAACTGATGATCCAATTGCACAATTTCTCGGGAAGCCCATAGGAAGGAAGCTTCAAAAAGCAGCGCTTTGTACCAAACCCGATCGAAGGCCTTCGCTATGTGTAAACTTACAGACAATGCCTCCCTTATGGACTCCACTAACTCCACCCATCTGTGAGTCAGGTAGACCAGAAAATCACCAGCTGATCGACTCCGACGAAAACTGTATTGGCGATTACTAATCAGCTCAATCCTCAAGGCATCTCACGAGCTGGCAGTTTATAATGGATTCCATTATTTTGAAGCACAAAGAGGTGATGGCGAATGGCCTATAGTTGGACGGGTCTGAGCGATCACCTTTTCAGGGATCGTGGATCAAAGCTTTCTTCCATAAATCCTGTATAAATCATGCCTTAACGCCACGTTGGACTAAAATATCGTATTTTAGCACTGAAATAATATGTACTACGTACTAGAGACGCCGAGACTGTCGTTTGCAACACGCGTTAGACCGCGGACTCACTCAGTGCCTCCTTCCACGCGGCCCGCAATGCCGCTCAGATTTTGTTCATGGTTATTGTAGTATTGATAGAATTAGGCGTTACTTTGCGATTCGGCAACTGGGTCTCGAGGTGGCTCTGCACAAGTCCGAGGCCATGCACTTCCATGGTCCTCGGAACAGGCCACCACCGGGATCCTCAGTGATGGTAGAAGGGGTATCCATCGGCGTCGAGTCGACGCTGAAGTACCTAGGACTCGTCCTCAACGGCCGATGGAACTTCGTTGAGCACTTCCGACGTTTGGCTCCCAAACTGGAACGGACTGGGGCTGCCTTCAGGCGGCTCCTGCCGAACCTGGGGGGGCCAAACGCCTCCTGCCGGAGAGGCTCTACGCGGGGATCGTGCGATCCATGGCCCTTTACGGGGCCCCGGTGTGGGCGCGTAGTTTGGCGCGGCTTGCCGTCCACCACCTGAACGCGCCCCAAAGGGTGGTTGCCGTGAAAATGGTTCGCGGCTACCGCACGATCTCCCGCGAGGCGGCGAGCCTCCTTGCCGGATTGCCGCCATGGGATCTGGAGGCGGTAGTCCTCGCACGCCTGCACGAATGGCGCGCGGAGGCACTATGCCGGGGGGAAACCCCGCTGCCGCGGCAAGGTGTCGCGCAGCGGACAGACTTCCGGCACGATCTCATGGCGCGACGATCATGAGAGCGACTGTCGCAACCCCATGCTGGGCACGCCACTATAGCGTCGATAAGACCCCTCTTTGAGGAGTGGCTTGAGAGACGCCACGGCATCCTCACCTTCCGCCTGACGCAGGTCCTCACCGGACACGGTGTGTTCGGGAGGTTCCTGCACCGAATCAGGCGGGAGGAAACGCCCGGGTGCTCCCACTGCGAGGATGGACCGGAGGACACGGTGGAACACACCGTGGAGGTGTGCCCTGCTTGGGCGGAGCACCGCCGTGTCCTCGTAGCGGCGATAGGCGGCGGCGACCTCTCGCGTCCGGCCCTGGTCGAAGCCATGGTCCGGAGCGAGACGGAATGGGATGCCGTCACCACCTTCTGCGAAGCAGTGATGCTAGCGAAGGAGGTGGCGGAGCGGGAGAAGGAGAGAGCAGCAGTTTTGTCCCCGGCCGCCGCGGGAGACGCCCAGGGCGTCGGGGGCTACGTCGTGGCCCCCGGCCACCGTAGGCGCGGGCCTGTGGACGGCGAGCAATGGGTAGCTCGCCGTCCGTCCGTCTAACGACGACAGGCCGTGTCGACGGCGCGTTTTGTTCCACGCGCGCCTCAAAGAGCTGTCAGCAGCGTGAAGGGGCCCGCAAGGGCCGACGCCTGCCGGGGCTGCGGGCTGTTCGAAAGAGACACCGCGGCTCCGGAACGTAAGGGCACTGAAGGAACACGGATGGTTTTTAGTCAGTAAAAGTCTGACACTCCCTTATGCTCCACCCAGAGCGAAAGGCGTCATTAGATGATTTTCCATCCGCAAAAAAAAGGCGTTACTTTGCGGAAATTCATTATAATAAAGATATTAATATTTAATTCACAACCATCCGCTCAATTAAATACAATGATGTGTCCTATCTGGATTGAAGAGCTTAGCGGTCAGCCGCCGTAGAGTCTACATCACCTGAGGATGCCTCGAAACACGTGTGATTATCTTCGATGGTGTGTCTTTCCTGGAATAGTGGTGTTGGGAGTAGTGGTTTCGGGAGTAGTGGTGTTGGGAGTAGTGGTGCTGGGGAGGATCATTGTATTTAATTGAACGGATGGTTGCGAATTAAATATTAATATCTTTATTTTGTAGTATTTTTCAAATGATTAGACGCGATTTTGCAATTTTTAAGCTTTGATTAACTGAATGGAGAAGTTCTTGGAGCTAATGATAACGACCAAGAAGATTAGATTAATAGATTGATTTTCCTTACCGGCAGAATTAAACTGGAAGTTCTGCAGATGTTCATATATAACTCTATGTAAACGGACTGCGAGCTCCAAAGTAACCGCGCTGAGATTGTCACCTTCAAGACTTGCGTAGATCTTGTCCATGACTGAGTTTAAATACGAAACTACCGTCAAACATGCCTGAGGGGAAAAAAACAATTTGTTTCAGATTGGTTAATTATGTACACACACATAATAATTCACAAATCGGATGAAAAGATACAGGCGATTAAAATAAAACGGTTTTTTATTATAAAAATTAAAATTAGTGCCAATAGATATTTACTTATATTCTATATGAAGAATCAAAATGCATCCTTATTATTGACTGGGAGAGAATGCCTAAAGGCATTAGGTCCACTCTTTGTAATCTTTTATTAAGGTGTACAATAAAGTGTAAATAAATGAATAAATGTGTTTATTTCTTACAGGAAATCTGTAACTGTTTATTAAGGAATATGTGCAAAGAGAAAAGAAGATCGATCTTTCAGACTATGTTTTACTGTTGAGTTAAACTCTTCGAATTACCTAAAAGAAGGAGGAAGTTCTGACATCATCGGATTACTTTTTTATGTATGTTCAGTGATAATTCTATTTTAATTTAGTTTTATTTTGTTAGAAAAGGGATATTTCAAGAATGGTATCAAATAAACTTAAAATCTAATTATGGAATCCATGTGAAAATCACCAAACTCTTCACTTTACAAAGGCATCTCTGCACGACATATGCGCGAATAATTCTTTACTATGTCAACCGATTGCTAATTATATTTAACTAGCTTACCAGGCAGATGTTGTTCTGCCCTTGTCGACGACAATTTGTCATGTCCTATCAAAAATCCTTTAATTCGCAAAAAACATTGTGGGCAAAAAATCTATCCTATCTCTCAAGTTGGACCAAACTGCTCACGTTGTGCTAATTTGATTAAAATCGGTTAAGTAGTTTAGGAGTCCATCGCGGACAAACAACGTGACACGTAATTTATATATATATGTTTAATTAGTCATTTAAAGTCAGTTTTTCTTTTTTACAAAATTTGATTTTAGTTAGTTAAAACTTACAGAAGAGGCAATGGTGTCTATGTCGCCTTCAGGCTTGAAGTCGGTTTTCTTTTGCTCATTCTGCAGATGTAACTTAACCCAGCCAACTATAGTTGCGATGGCCCTTTCAAGGCCAGCGTCTAATTTATTTTCCAGCTGCTCCATCACCGCCGTTTTTTTCTGGACGCATTCGCTTTGTTTTGACGTTGAACTTAAATAAATAGTATCATTATTTTTTTAAACTATTGAAGAAATAAGAAATATAACAAGCGATACCATTTCAATAATAATAATTTGTTCAAAAGAAATATCTATAGTTCACCATTAGCAAAGAAAGTTTTTAAAGAAACATACCTCAGACATGGTAAAACAGATTCTTGAAAATGCTCTCCAAACATTTTCACTATTTTATTTGTTTGGTCGACTATTTCAAAGAAGTAAATCTGAAATAAAAATAGGATAATGTAACATAATAGACACCATATAGTCGTGTACACGCACACACGTACGCCTGACTTACAGACTAAATATTAGGACTCGACTATCATTTGGTCGCCATAGTATCGTCCGTCGATCAGCAAGGCAGTAAGGATAAATCTAACAATACACTGAAGAAATCAAACAATAGAAGGCCAAAAACACTATGTTATAATTAGTAATCGGATAATCGGATGCATATTTACCTAAAGTTCATTTTTGGCTTGGAAATTATGGAAGCGGCTTCTTAAAACATATTTTTTTAATATAAATCCCGGGATTCCAGAAGATACGGAAACGAGAAACGTCTGTACCATGGTGAGGAAACGTCGACTATAGCATGTGGTATTTGTTAAAAAAAAAGTGGGTGTTATTTAAAAAAATTAAGAGGAAATTATTATTTCTAGTTTTTTTTTTTATTTATAAAAGTTAAAATAAGTAAATATACCTACACCCGATTTGGCATTCTATAATAAAAACTGTAAATTTGTCGATTCCAAAATCCCGAGATTTTTTCAATACACAAGTGCATTCCATATTATCCAACACCTTAAAATAAGTAAATATATCTACACCCAATTTAATTCTATAGTAAAAAGTAACTAAATTTGTCGATTCCGAAATCCCGGGATTTTCCGATACAAAAGTGAAGTGCATTCCATAATAGCCAACACCTACACTTTAGGTATATATGCATCCAATTATCCGATCACTAGTTATAATCTAAGCGAACTTTAAACATTTTACCTGAGGCGGTGACTTGTTCTCGATGATGGGTATGGACTGTAGTCCAAGGTCCAGGGCGTAATCAACGTGTTCGATAAGCAGGTGCTGTATTAGCACATCGAGGAGAGCTATGGCAGTCGCTGGTAGTTCGTTGGTGGTGCATAGCTGCATGCAACAAAAATCTTATATCATTCAAACTCAACAAATCTGCAACTACATTCTTTAATTATTTAGACACATTGCAAGCCATGGTTCAGGCTGTTAAAATGTAAACTATGATTAGAAAATTGCTTTTTAATTCCGTCCTTCATGGTGGAACTACTCCCGAGACGTCTGTTCTATAAGAAAGGCGACAACGCTCCATTGAAAAATTACTGACCGATTTCCTTTTTTAGCAGAGTCTACGTGCTGTTTTCGAGGTTCATTACGTATCGTTTTACACGGAGACAACCGGTAAAAAGACCGGTTTTTTAATGTTTTAGTACCAGATCACTTTTTTTATAGGACAGGGGGCAAACGAGCATACGGTTCACCTGATGGTAAATGATTACCGCCGCCCATGAGCAACTGCAACACCAGGGTAATTGCAGATGCGATGCCGGCCTTTTAAAAACGAGTAGGCTCTTTTCTTGAAGGTCCCTAAGTCGTATCGGTCCGGAAAAATCTCTAGTGGTAGTCGATTTCACGAGGAAGTTGTGCGAGGAAGAAAACTTATTTTAAACCGCAAGGTCAAATTGTACAGAATACTTAGGAGTACAATCTGCCACTTTGTCTTGTGAAAGTGTATTATGAGAAAGCCTCTAATTTCGTCAAAATTTGCTATAGTCCCTTCAGTAGTGCCAAGTTGACTGTCATTATATTGAAGTGTTCGTACAGGGCTATGATGGCGTTTCGAGTATGTATGGATCCAGATGTAAGATAGGGTGATTTTATATTCTCAAAAATTTTCACCAGTGAAATTAGAAGTTTTCAAGCTACTGAACTAAAAAGGCGTCAGCATCAATGGCGAGTACGTCACTCACCTTTGATTTGCCGACGATATAGCCATTACGGCAGAGTCGATAGACGACTTCAGCGCTATGCTCAATACCTTCAATAGTGTTTCCTTACGGATATATCTTAAAATGAACATGGACAAAACAAAAGGCATGTGTAACACCCTTGTCATGATGTGTATGCAAGTAGTTGTTAGGCACCCCCACTAGATGACGTGACGACCTGTTAAGAGATGCAGTAAGTTGATGGATGCAAATAGCACAGTACCATGCTGTGTCCGTGTTCAGCAGTGGACTTGTGATGAGCTGTAACAATGACGATGATGATGAAAAGAAATAATTATGGGAGCAATGCTCGATAGTAGATTTCCAGTTGCAAACCTAACTGTAACTTTTTCTAAAACTACTAAAGAAGGACGTTACTTACAGTTTTACACCTCAAAAATGACATCTTGGCGTCATTCAGCATCTTCTGAACGAGTTGCTCACTAAGGAACGTCTCACCGCCGTAGTTTTCTATTTGTGCTATGTTAATATTAGCTCGTGTACCGATCACAGCTTGGAAGTCTCGACGAAGCTCTTGAAATCTGAAACCGTATATTTTCTGTTCAAACTTAATAGCTTAATACCCATTGTCAGTTATTAAAGGAGTATATGAATGCAAGTAACTCAAGCCTGTGGTTTCTAACAATCAATTACAAGTCTATATTCAGTGTTAGTCATGAGAACTGCCGCTAACTATTCAAGCCGCCAAATTTTACCATCGCACATCAAGACAAAATTCACGATACCATCTATACCATCTGGATGATTGACGGTCCACCACTGTGCGATTTACCAGTTTTCTTCCTCGCAAAACTTTTTTGTAGAATCGGACACCATTTCTCAATACCGATATGATTTAGGGACCCTTAAGAAAAGAGTTCACTCCTATTTAAAACAGTAACAAAGTACCTGCAATTTCTGGTGAAATGCAATTTCAGGTGAAGCGCAGGCGCTTTTGCCGGCAGTTTAAATAGGAATGAACTCTTTTCTTAAAGGGTTGGGCCCTTCTAAAAATGTCTATATTTTAATTTACTTAGAATTGTTATCTGTTGATATGAATAATTACTGTCACAAAGTAGCAGAGTACAGTTGTAAATAAAAACGGTTAGAACCACATTATATAATAAAAGCTGCTACACCAATCACCTTGTGTCCACACTCACATTATGTACCACATCTCACATTATGTTTCAATTGTTACGCTTTTCTATTTGATAGTCAGGTTTTAAACTTTATAAGGACACTTATGAAAATATTGACATCTAAACTAAGCAGAGCTCATATTTTAGATGTCAGGGGTTTTCTCCCAAGCATAGTACAAACGTTCAAGTATATGGCAATTAATGCTCTTATTATTTAAAATAACACACAAACAAAAAATATGAAATTGGCATTTATGGAACATCTTTTTGCGTTCCGATTTAAATGGTAGAAGACATGGACTTGAGACATTAAAAAAAAACAAGCAGTAAAAGTAAAATTTTCAGAAAACTGAACTTCGAGATAGTGAGACGAATGCAGAGTATCAAAAGTAAAATAATTGTGGGGTTTACGTAATCATAAATTTATAACAAACACTGTATACTGTATTCTATCTCATTCTCTCGCAAGCTACATCCTATAAATGTATACGTTTGTCTCTTTTTAGTGTCGGTTTTTTGTTTCTTCGAGTTTCATCACAATGAATTTGTAAGAAGTTTTTACTTCAAAAATCTTAGCTATTAGATATGACAATGCACCTGTAGCCTTCTTCATTGACGTTGGCTGCATGTGTCAAAAGGGGACTATCAGATAGCGTATTATTGTCATTTTAATGAAGAAGTTACATGCGAAATTGAAATTGGTGGTTTATTAGACTTTTCAAGAATTCGGTAGAAGATAGAATACGTAAAGAAAAATTTAAAAAAAGTATGGTTACAGTTACATTTTTTTGACAGATAAATAAAGGCGTGATTTTATAACGTACAATTATGTTTCTGGATAAGGTATTAGTTTGATTATTTTAAGAGGAATGCATGCATGAGGCACTTATGCATTTAAGTACAAGGACCTTGACTTTGACCTTGACTGTTATTTAATGTGCTGCACCAATTTCACAAATGAATTAAAATATAAAATAAAAAAGGAGAAAATCTCACCAGTTTTATTAATCACATTTCAGTTCATAAGGCCCATAATAGATTATCTTCAGTTGTAGGAATATTTTTTTTGTGTACTAGAAGGGATAGCAAGTTATTATAATCTATCTGTACCTTCTTTTCTCAACCAAAAAACTTACCCCCCGCCCTGTATCTGTTTCTTGACGTGTTGTTTCTCGTTGTAATATGTGTTAAGAGCGTTGGATAGGACCGCTTTTAACCGCCGCGTTTCAAGTGCGGCGTACCCGTCGTTGGCCCCCGCCAATGCTCCATTAACAAGAGCCTCGCGTCTTAAGTCGCCAGTGGAAATGTTGCCATCAGCGGACACTAGGCCCGCTGCTACTAACTCGTCGCACACTTTTTGTGTGCTGTAATATAATAAAATGTGCCATAATTAATAATTCTGATATTCGCGTTCCGTAATACGCCACCTTAACAATATTTAGTAATGATTCACAACTTGCTCGACAGTCAAGAAAGCACCGCAAAGAAATTATTAATAGAATCAGGCTTTACTTTTCGGTTATCCGTTATATTAAAGATGTTGAGAAGTAATAAGCTAAGATCCGCGTAATAAAATAAAATTATAAGTCTTATCTACTTTGAAAAGTATGTAACTTGATTACGTGCTTACTTTTTTACGTGGTAGAACCACGCTACAGCTATATTCTGGTTGCACCACGAATGGGTTGGCTCTACCGTGGTAGGACCACGCTCTCACAGAATACCAGCGTAAAATAGCAGCTTAATGCTGCTGTGTTTCTTATGGTGAGTGTAGACAACCGGAGACCCTTTTTACTATAAACGAAGCATTTCATCTCAGTACTTAGGGGTTGACAACGCATCTGCATTTTGATTCCCAATTAAAGATAAATCTAGATGTCTATGGGCTCACTTACCATAATGACTGTGTGTGTTTTCACCTTATTTTAATTTGGGCACAGCATCCACTTAACATCGGGTGGACTGTGTGCTTGTTTGTCACCCTTATACTATAAAAAAAAACGAGCACTATCCTTGTCACCACGGACAGGTATTTACCTGAGGATGCCTCGTTTGGAGTCGAAACACGTGTCGTATTATCGACAGTTGTATTCCTACTGAATCATAGTGTAGTGGTGTTGGGATTAGTGGATCTTAATTTATTAACGTTTAATATCTTTAATTGCAAAAAAAAATTATGTATACCAGAAAATTGTGATATATTCAAACTATCTCCCAGAAAATGTAGCTGGTCTCCTCCATCGCCTTATTCTTTAAGAGGCAAACTGCTCATATATTAATCATCATGTTCACATATTATTCATCACCCCATTTTGTCAAGTGGGTGTCGACTGCGATATGGGGAGCTTTGGGTCAACTGCTAGACTCAGACTGCACCAGATTTTATTAAGAATGTTATATAATTAATTCTAACAAAGAAAGGTTAATGTTCCCGACGGTACGTAGATTTCAAGTGTTAGTTTGCAATTAATTATCATCAAGTTACATGGCCGCCGGTACCAATGAAATTGTTTATTGCCATTTTAAGTGCTGATTTACCACGTGCTCGGCGGTGAAGTAAAACACCGTGAGGAAACCTGCATGTCTGAGAAATAAGAAAAATAAATATTTCAAAGACATATGGAGTTCGCCAACACGCATTGGGGCAGCATGGCAGAAATTTCCTTACCCTAAAACCCTCTCAGAAATGCGCGGAAGCCTGTTTCCAGGAGTGGAATGTATATAGGCTGTAACTTTAGTTTTTTTTTTACATGGTAAGATATCTTTTACAATACTTATATGGATAAAGCCTCGAGTTACCTCGAATAAAGTCTCAAATATAGTTCTCAGTAGAAATGGTATTTAATAACAGTATTCTTAAAATTTATCAAATTGATTCTCTTACACTTACCTAGTTCTAGTGATTCTCTACACTACCACTACAAGGCGACTAGGGGATGTGTCAGAAAGACCTTATGGACTCCAATATACGAATGTGATGAATTTCTCTTTCTCAAGATTTACGTGTGATATTTACGGCCTGATAATATACTTTGTTGTTTAAACATTAATCCGTTAATAGTAAACAGAAGTATTTAAAGCATATTAACTATATAATGGGAATAATATTTACATACAAATTTGAAAAATCTATCGTATGACTATAAATATATATAAATTACCTTGTATACATTTCAAACAGATTCCTTAGATATTTTTCAATGTCGTTTTTATCAGCAAGTTTAGTCTGTATGTACTTTTGTAGCTTCAGATGAAAAATATTCAAAACAAATTTGCTCATCACTTGGTCAGGATTCGGGAATACACTGCTTATGATTGTATAATTTTTCTTGCATAGAGGCAGTACAGCGGAGAATATGTCTTTACCAAGTAAAGTGTTCTGCAAAATAATTTTTATGAATGAAGAAAGCGCCCAAAATACTTCGAAATACTTTGTATTGCAACATTCTGTTAAAATACACAAATGCTTAAGGCAGTGTTGCAGTACTTTTTAACGCTTTTGAACCTCCTTAAATGTAAATATTGTACAAAAATGAATCATTTTATAAAATGTAACACACAAGGGTTGTGTGAAGACAAACAAATCATACTTGACTCGATAAAAAAAAATCATAAAGTTGACACTTAAATTGCTGTTTAAATATGTACCATGAGTATATGTATATTACAGAGATACCTTAATGAAACCGTGTAAAAATCAAATGAAAAAAGGCTTTTATATTTTTAGGGAATATTGAGAACACGTTTTATAAATTCGTATCTTACGAAAGAATAAAAAAAATCTATCATAATGATTTCTGAATAAGTTTTGCGTTTAATTTTACTTTTATTTGAATTCCCGACGTTTCAGTCAATTTACAGCACAGACATTGGATGCTGTAGTTTTTAAAATAATTTAATTTAAAGAAATTAAGCAGTTCAAGCGCTCGCGGTCAGTGTACCCTGAGACTTTTTAAGGTTGGAAGTAGTTGATTTAGGAGTAGTAGTAAAGTAGGAGGGAAGTGACTTTTTCGTCTCGTCGTTCGACTCGTCAACCATATTTCTAAATTTTCTATTACTGTGTGATCTTTGCTTATGTCATAACTAGGCAATCTTATGTAAGACTCAATTAGAAATAATTACGGTTCTGATTAGGCAGAGTTGCCACACACTTCGCCTACTGGTACGAGGCTGCCACTCGAAAACCTTTCTTCCCCATCGGTTGTCGGTTCTTCGAGCTATATGGCCGGCCCATTGTCACTTCAGCTTACTAATCTGTTTAGCTATGTCGGTTACTCTGGTTTTACTGCGGATATCCTCATTCCAAGTTTACCACGCAAAAAAAACCCGAGCATAGCCCTCTCCATAGCTCGCTGAGCGACCTGAGCGTCCTTATACCGCCAACAGTGAAGGACCACGTCTCAGATCCATAAGTCATCACTGGCAACACGCACGGGTTGTGGATTTTTTGTAAAACCAGTATACCTTCTGTGTACTAAATATCGGGAATTTGTCAATAAAACAAAAAATACAAATTATTCATCTAAATTTATTTTATCGCCTTCAAAGTAGGCCCCATCGCTTGCAATACAACATCTCCAACGCGTCACCCAGTCTTCCATACATTTTTCATAGGCTATTTGCGGTATGGCCTTTAGCTCATTCAGCGAATTTTTTGTTATGGCTTCTATCGACTCAAAACGTTTTCCACGAAGTGGTAATTTTAACTTGGGAAATAAAAAAAAGTCAGACGAAGCCATATCAGGTGAATACGGTGCTTGGTCGAGAACTTTTGTTGAATTTTATGCTAAAAACTCTTTCACTATAATGGCTGTGTGTGATGGTGCATTATCATGGTGCAGCATCCATGAGTTGTGTTGCCACAAATCTGGACGTTTTCGGCGGATACTCTCACGCAAACGCTTCATGACGCCTAAATAATATTCTTTATTCACTGTTTCTCCCTTTGGAAGGAATTCGGAGTGAACCACACCACGGTAGTCAAAAAAAACTGTCAGAATCACCTTGATTTTGGAGCGGCTTTGCCGTGGTTTTTTGGGTTTCGGCTCGTTTTCGAGACGCCATTCTGAAGACTGTTGGCTTGTTTGCATGTCGTACTCATAAACCCATGTCTTGTCGCCAGTTATTATACGTTTCATAAAGGTCGGATCCGTAGAAGCTCGGAAAACCATGTCTTCAGCGACATGCTTTCGCTGCGCTCTTTGAACAAAATTGAGCTCTTTTGGAACTAGTCGAGCGGCGAGGCGTTTCATGCCTAAAATGTCAATGAGAATGTTGTGGACGGACTTAAAAGATATGTTCACCTCACTAGCCAACTCTCTCAGACTCATACGTCGATTTTCGAGCACTAGCTTCTTGATTTTGTCGATGTTTTCTTTGGTCGTAGCAGTTGAAGGTCTACCAGAACGAGGCAAGTCTACTACTACTTCTCGGCCTTCTTTAAAAGCCTTATACCATTCATAAGCCCTTGTTTTCGATATACACTATTCGCCGTAGGTATTTCGCAACATTTTTAGTGATTCACCACATGAAATATCATTCGAAACACAAAAAAGCACACTCTTTGTTCAACAATATTTTCCATTGTAAAAATCGCCGAGAACTCAAAACTATGACCAACAAAAAGTGTAGTTTAAAACAAATTAAATGACAGATCCCGCTCAAACTTTGCGCGCTAAATCAGTACAGTGCTACCAACATGCAGTAAAAAAATTAGAACGACCTCTTTTACGCGGGTCTTTTTATTGACATATTCCCGATACTTTTTACACAGAGTAGTACAACCCTAAGCCTAACAAAAACCAAATGCCCATATAATATGTCTCTGTGTAAACAATCACACTCACTCTAGACACAGGGCTCACTTTCAAGCCCCACGTCAAAAGAGTAACCCGTCACGCACGGTTTTATCTGAGTAGGCTCAACAGTATGTTGGGCCGACACAGTAAAATGTCCCTTCGAAACAAGCGTACCCTTTACAAGGTCTGTAGACGAGCAGTCATGTCCTACGCGGGCCCCGTCTTTGCCCACGCAAACCCTAACATTTTAAATGAACTCCAAATAGTTCAGAACCTCTTCTGTCGTCGAGCTGCGAACGCACCGTGGTACGTCCGTAATGCCGACCTTCATCGGGACTTAGAGCTCCCAACAATTCAACAATTTCTTAAAAAACTCTCTGAGAACTTCTTCAAAGCCTCAAAGTCGCACCCAAACCATTTAATTCGTGAGGCAGCTTCTTATGCAGCCCCACCCCCTCTCGCTATCGTGTCCGCAGGCCGAGAAACTCTCTCTCGGACCCGCCTAATAAACTTTCAAACGACCTGAACTGTCTCCTGGCGGCTCAGGCCAACTCTAATTAAATAAAATTATTGTAATATCTAACATTAATTTGCCTTCGTAGGCACTCCCTCAGCGGCACTTAGCCGCCTGCGCCCTCTTTTCCCAAAAGAGGGTCGCTCATGATAAGGCACAATAGAGCTTAATCAGCCGGTTGCCTGTCCCCAAAGGCGGTTTTTAGAGGGTATCACATAGGGTCCCCCGGTAGGACAGTGAGCCCCTCATAACCACGATAGACCGGCTATCGTGGTATGCGTAATGCATTTTCCGCCTCCCTACGTATAGGGTAGCCCTTTAATTGCTTCGGGCGCAAAAAAAAAAAAACAATAACACAATTTTATTGAAATAGGCATGACATGACATCTACGCGTCCGAAGACTACACAGCACAGACACAAAAAAAAGAATCATGTTCAGTCTCGACGTAACAATTTTTTTTCGCGTCTAGTGACATAAAATATCTTATAAAATTTTTTTCTTATGTCGTATCGCATAATTTAATTTTCAAATAAGGCCAGGAAAAACAGTAATGTTACTTTGTTTATCATTCTCAATAGACTTTTGGAGACGAAACGTGTTTTACAATGGCTCAAACGCCCAGAAGCTATGCCAAAATGTATAAAAACGTTAAATTTAAATAACGTCAAAAAAATTTACGAAAAACTTGCTCATTCGTCATGTGGTTTATGAATGTTCGAAATAACCATTTCTTTTTTTACAATTAATTAATTTATGATTAGATACGATTTTAATGGTTTTGTGCTATGGTGTGGGAATTGAAATAAGTGTACAGACCTTATCTGACAGCTGTTATAACCTCAAACTTGTATTTACTGTTATAATCTTAAACTTGTGTTTTTCTCTGGCCTCTAAATAAAAAGATGATAAGTTATTATGTTATTATAAACAATAATTGTTTTTATACAACAGTAGTTGTAGGTAGACGCGACCTGTTAAAGGAATCAAGTGATAGGTCATTCAATGTATGAAAAGTGGGTGTGATTCTTTCAAGGAATAAGAAATTTGCAGCTTTTGTTTCGACGATAATAGATCTCAGATGTTGTAGATTTTAATCAGGAATAAAAAGGAACTAAATATATAAAAATAAGACAAAATCCAAGAATTGAAATATTTGTCAACATGCCATACCATTTGGCTGGTTTCAATAAAGGCGTCAACACACTGCGAATAACCCTTGAAATTTGTCATAATATTTGCAATAGTTTTCATTTTCGCCAGATTGCCTTGGTTTTGTGCTTTCACAAATTCCTCAATAAGATTTCTTTCAATTTCGTCATATTTAGCTTCAATCTTTTTCTTTGCCACTTCAAATTTATCCGGTGGTAGTTCTTGTGCAATTGTGTACAACTTTTGTATCACATCAGCTGCTTCATTTAGCTGTGAAAAAATATTTTTAAACAATTAATTGATTTATACGTGGTAGAGCCATGCTGCAGTTATATTAGATGTATAGTTGTAGCACGAATAGGTCGGCTCGACCGGGGAAGGACCACGCTCTCACAGAATACCAGCGTGAAATAGTAGCTTAATGCTGCTGTATTTCGTATGGTGAGTGTAGAGAACCGGCGACCCATTTTACTGGAAACGAGGCATTCCATCTTAGTCCTCACGGGTGACAACACATCTGCATTTTGATTCGTAATCGAGGATAGATGTAGATGTCTATGGGCCACAGCAACCACTTACCATCAGGTGGACTGTGTGCTCGATTGTCACCCTATCCTATAAAAAAAAATCTGATCTTCTGTAAAGTATCTTATGATCCTTTGTAAAGTACCATCATACCATCAGGTGGGATAGTAGTAAGCATTATAAGCATAAGTATACTAGGTAGAGTGATAACCTGTTAAAAGATGAGGGTATTTGATGTATGCAGGTGGTTCTGGAACATACTTTGTGGCATTCCTTGGGGGAAGCCTATGTTCAGTTGTGGATTTCTGATTGGCTGTAATGATGATGATGATGATGATAAATGGTACATCATTGGTTTTAGCGACTACTTCAGTTGTATGTGATTTATAAAATTTTAAAAACTTTTATTTTACATATTGCATATTTTGCATACTGCTATGCATATATTGCACATGTCTGGACACTTTCTAAAAGTGTCACAAATTCTAAAAGGCTCTTGTCTGCAAGTTTCTTTCACAAGATAATCACCATTTAAAATTGCAATTTACAATTTCATTGGTGCTGATGGTAATGGAACTCGCGTTTCTCAAACTCTGTTTGTACACCAATTAAAAATATCAGCTCCCCCCCCCCCCCCTATACATGATAAGCCGTCATTAATTTAACTATTATGTTTAGTTAACGGTCTAGTCCTCTATTTTCACACTACGCCATTGTATCCGACGTCCCAACAGTATGACCACTGCCACTGAGAATCATTTCTCGGCACCTCAAATATCAAATATTACTCCCACCCCACCACAATGTAGTGATCGAGAACACAGCGTTGCAGTTTCTTATCTTTTTTTATATAGGATAGGGTGACAAACGAGCACACAGTCCACCTGATGGTAAGTGGTTGCTGCGGCCCATAGACATGTACATCTATCTTCGATTACGAATGAAAATGCAGATGCGTTGTCACCCGTGAGGACTAAGATGGAATGCCTCGTTTCCAGTAAAAAGGGTCTCCGGTACTCTACACTCGTCATACGAAATACGGCAGCATTAAGCTACTATTTCACACTGGTATTCTGTGAGAGCGTGGTCCTTCCCCGGTTGGGCTGACCCATTCATGCTATAACTATACCAGTAATATAGCTGCAGCATAGCTCTACCACGTAAAAATCCAGCAGCTGAGTTAGCTATGAGTGTATATTAACAAGCAAGTAAGAAGAAAATCGGTGGTTTGAATATTCCGTTGTAAGAAGCCTTTTCTATCAAAATTGAAGAATATTTTTTTACTATATTTTTTTAAATATTTTGTAAATATACACACTTTATATAAGTTTAATAAATATATGTACCTTATTGGGATCATTAAATAGGTCTGTGAGCACTGGGCCAGGACTAAGAAAATTTGCTAGATGTGACAAAAGATCCCGAGCAGCAGCAGCCCTGGCTCTGGGCGCTCTTGCGGCACCAAGTTTTTCCCCAACTTCCAAAGCTCTACCTCCACAGCGAGACATACGCTCGTCCAAGGAACTGAATACATTTACACAATGCTGGAAGAGACAATTTTAATAAAGATTATAGTTTGAAAATACGTTTTTTTTAACACCTTCTTAATATTAACAATGCTAATATTAACATTAAAGTAACCTTCAAACCGGAATACAACAGTGAAAGCACCGCTAATTGGCGACAGAAATAGGTGGGAAAATGGTACCCATTCAGACGGACTCCTAGAGAGAGAGAAGGAGGGGTTGGCTATAGACATCTGGTACTCGATTTTAATAAAGTTTTTTTTATAGAAGAGGGGGCAAACGAGCATGCGGCTCACCTGATGTTAAGTGACCACCGCCGCCCATGATCAACCGCAACACCAGGGGAATTGCAGGTGCGTTGCCGGCCCTTTAGAAAGGAGTAAGCTCTTTTCATGAAGGTCCCCAAGTCGTATCGGTCCGGAAAAATCGCCGGTGGTAAACTATTCCACAGAGAGGTCGTACGCGGAAGAAAACTCCTTTTGAAACGTACAGTGGTGGACCGCCAAGCATCCAGATGGTGTAGATGGTATCGGGACGTTTGCCGCGTAGTGCGTTCACGAAATTTGGCGGCTAAGATTAAGAGCGTATATTCAAATTTGTGCAAGTCAAAATCGCTCTGGAACGGCGTAATATTGAAGCACACTACAATGTTCTCTGTGTGTGTAATTGCTCGAGGTGGGGCGAGCGCAAGGTTACTATAATAGTTGTATCCAAACATTTTTGTATCTAGCACGAATCATCTTGATACTATTGGAACTAAGAGAATAAAATAATTTCCACATAATAGCTTATGAGGTCGTAGCTAAGACATAGTGTATATAAGAATTAATATCCGATCTAACCCTGACATCGAAAGCTAATATGTATTAATTATTTTAATCTTTTAGTAAATTGAAGTCGGCTTTTCTTTTTTACTCGTAGTAAGTAGACTAAAGAATCTCACAACGCCAAGTTAGTTAAGAACTAGAAAGGGATAAGTAATATATGTTCGAATTGAAAAATATGTATTATATAAAATAGATTTCGTTCGGTATACATTTATTCTGTTTCATAATGTAAAGATAATTTATCTAAATAACAATTTCATTGGTGTCGGCGGGGATCGAACCCGGGTTGCCCGCTTTTACGGCGAACACTTTGCCCTTGAGCTACCATGGCTCATATCTGTTTTGTTTCTATTTTATAATAACGTTACCACTAAGAATGTTTCCTAAGTATATAGTGGAGGCAGTTAACATAAGAACATAAAATTTCGCAAGGACCAACATCCAGACCCGGAACAATTATTTGTAGGTTTACAAATTTTTGTTCCGTGCGGGAATCGAACCCGCGGCCTTTAGAGTTAAACTTATTGCTAAGCCACTCCGCCACGGAGCCGTCAAATATATCTTTTGTAGGGATAAATATTTTAGTTATAAATTGCTTACTATTAAACAAACTTGGAAAATTATTAATAATTAATTTAAATAATATTATTTAACAAAGTATCATTCTTTGCGTTGTATTGCGCGAACTATTGTTTATTCTGTAGCTATGCGCATTCATCGTTTCCGATAGTTTGTCCATATTAAATCGGGAATTTGGTTTTAAAATCGGGACAATTACAATAGCTACAAAAAACAGATTTTTTGTAGCCATTGTGGTCGCTATTAGTTATACAGGTTTTGACACAATTTGCAATGTGTTTTATAATTATTATATATGTAGAACTGATCAAATGAACGAATCATTTTTGGTTCAAACATCGTTGAAGACTAAACTTTCTGAATAATATAACTGTGAAAATAGTAATAAATCTTATGTACTCACAACTGATGCACTTCAAAGAGCACTTTAAAAAAGAACGGAATAGTTTAAACGGTTTTAATACCTCACACCTTGATAGCCTAGATAAAATCTTTGCATGGGACATATAATGTTACTTTATTTATTGAAAACAACGGTACCTACAAACGATTGAAGTAATTGACTAGTGGAAGAACTTTTCCACAAGCCTTTTGAATTTTACTAAATGTACTTATCTAAGCAGCAGCATGTAAGTTAGATATTGTACTGATTATTATTACGATGCATATCGCAAACCGGCAATATGCATCAGCGAGAAAAAAAACAACAAGTAAACATGATTGATATCTTGCAATGCCATCACATTACGCGCAAAGCAAACTTTGATGTTGCCTATTTAGTCCAAGTTTGGTGGGAAAATATGCAAAGCAAAAGTATTTTAATGTATTAGTAGCTTACAGATATATTCAATATTGCTGTCAAAATGATCGATCGAAATATATACTAGTTAGTGAAAATTCGGGACATTTGGCATCCCGATTCATCGTTGATTGGGACAAATCCCGCACAAATCGGGACACTTGGCAACACTAGCTTATGCTATCGGTGTGAATTAACACGTACGCGGGCTGTGGCGGGAAAAAGTAATACGACCTATCGTTGGGAAGACCCGGAGCGTACTGAACTGAATCGAACGGCTTTTTTTTTTGCGCCCGAAGCAAATATGGGCAACCCTCCGGAAAGCGGGGGAGGGAGGCGGTGAATGCTCAAAGCATACCACGCAGCCGGCTGCGTGGTTATGTGGAGACTTTTACCGACTAAACACCGCATTTATGCATTGGCTTACCGATCTGACGAGAGATCTCTAAGCCGTATACGAACGCGACCCTCCTTGGCAGAAAGGAGGGCGCATCGGACGACGTTTGCGCGTGATGATTTATAGTACTTTTAAAATAATTCATATAAAATAATAGACTAAATAAAACGAGCTAAATTTTTTTTGGATATTTAACATTACCTGTATTTTGATAAAATAATTAAAATAGATAAATTTATATCCCAATACACGGGAAAAAATGACATTGAAGTGGACAGTTTTGGTGATTTTATAGTATTGTTTTTTAATATTAAATTACGGAATATTTTCGTAATATAAGCTTAGCTATACACTAAAAGACCATATATTCTATTATAATAACGTTAAAAATAAAGTATTTTAGCTTATAATCATGGTTGTATTCCAGCTGAAAGATAACTCTGACGCATATTTTCGTAAAACGCTATGAAGGGATTGTCTTCGGTCTAAAAAACCGTCATTAAAAACTATGATTTTCCGTTGCAATGTACTAAATAAAGACTTTATCTTTCTAAAGCCGTAATTTTCTGCAAAATATTTGCTCACATCGTTACGATATCGCCCTTGAAAAAACCCTA